AACCAGAAGAAATCGATACGCCGTATGGCCCTCAATTTTTTTGCAAGTGGGGAAATCCTTTACAGGAGGACTCCAGATTTAGGTCTTCTCAGATGCATTGATGCTAATGAAGCTGCAGAGCTTCTGGAACAGATACATGCCGGAGTTTGTGGTACTCACATGAATGGGCTCACTTTGGCCAGGAAGATCCTTCGAGCCGGTTACTTTTGGATGACTATGGAACATGACTGTTGCAAGTTTGTGCAAAAGTGTCATAAATGTCAAGTGCATGGAGATTTGATTCGGGTGCCTCCTCATGAACTCAATGCTATGAGTTCACCTTGGCCGTTTGTAGCTTGGGGCATGGACGTAATTGGTCCAATAGAGCCAGCCGCCTCTAATGGACACAGATTCATTTTGGTTGCGATTGACTACTTCACCAAATGGGTGGAAGCAGCTTCATATAAATCAGTGACCAAGAAAGTTGTGGCTGATTTTGTTCGCAACAATCTGATATGTAGGTTTGGAGTACCGGAATCCATCATTACTGATAATGGAGCAAATCTCAACAGTCATTTGATGAGAGAGATATGTGAACAATTCAAGATTACTCACCGGAACTCCACCGCCTATCGTCCCCAAATGAACGGAGCTGTAGAAGCCGCCAACAAGAACATAAAGAAGATTTTGAGGAAGATGATTGAAAATCGCAGAGGTTGGCATGAGATGTTGCCATATGCTTTGTTGGGTTACCGAACAACTGTCAGAACATCAGTTGGAGCTACTCCATATTTGCTAGTATATGGAACAGAGGCAGTTATACCTGCCGAAGTTGAAATACCTTCATTGAGAATCATCCAAGAAGCTGAATTAAGTGATGTGGAATGGGTTCGCAAGCGGATTGACCAACTAACATTGATTGACGAGAAGAGAATGATTGCCGTTTGTCATGGTCAACTGTATCGACAGAGAATGACTCGTGCTTTTCACAAGAAAGTAAGATCCAGGACATTTGAAGTTGGTCAGTTAGTTCTTAAGCGCATTTTCCCTCATTAGGATGAATATAAAGGGAAATTTGCACCAAATTGGCAAGGACCCTACATGGTTTGCAAAGTGTTATCCGGAGGTGCCTTGATCCTGTCGGAGATGGATGGCACCGAATGGCCAAAACCGATCAACTCAGATGCTGTCAAGAGATACTATGTGTGAAGTTTCAGCTTGTATTTCTATCATTTCCTTGTAATCGTTCTATTTGCTTGTAATTGCTTTGTTTAGAATTTTATCCCTCTTGTAATAAACTACGTCTGACTTGAATTCTCGAGAATGAGATACGTAGGCGGCCTATGTCGGCCTCGGTCGGTTTCTTTGTTAATTTCTTGTTTTGTTAGTCCTTGAGAGGGGGAACTACGTTTGACCTGATTCCTACCTCAACGGGATACGTAGGCGCCACAACGGCTCGGTCATATTTCCCGTAAGGATTTCTATTTCTCTTTACAATAAAAACTAGGACAGAATTTTTGAGAGGGACTCAAAAATTCTCGAGAAGAAGATCTTTCCAACAAAATCAAAACTGAAGTTACTTTGAGATTTGCAACTGTGACAGAATTTTTGAGAAGATCTTAAAAATTTTGTGATTGCTCACCAACGGCTAAAGATACACCAAGACAGTTAACTTGGACATAAATTTTTGAGAATGACCTCAAAAATTTCAACTGGGTTTATCGGCAGTTTAGAACAACTTTGAATATTTTCCAACAAGTAATCAGATGGACCTCAAGGCATCAACTTCAAAGACGTTCGCTAAAGCTCGACGTGACATGACACTTGGCAGTGACATTTTCCAAATATTCTTTTTGAAAATCTATTTTTCTTAAAAACTTTTATTTTCGTGTCTAAATTATTTTGCATAAATATGTTTTGTCTTATCTATCAAGAAACGGGAGATCAGAAAAATCAACCGGAGATAGTCAGACAAGGAGCAGACAACTGAAGAGATTGACACAGACCAAGTTCGTTTTTAAAACTAACAATTTTTCTGTGGAAGCAGGAAATATCTTATGTTTCTTATACCAAGAATTAGGAATATGAGTAGCATTACTTTATTCAAATTCTCAGCAAGGCGAGGTTCATAATGAACATGCAATTATGTTCGAAGATGGGACAAATGAAAACTTTGAAGAGAGAAATATTATTATTTTCCAGCAACTAAAGATACCTGGAAGATATTTATCTGCATTATATTATCGGATATGATAATATTCTTACCCTGAAGGTTATTCATATCGTATTGTCAAATATGATGATACCACTACTCCGAAGGTCATTTTATTTTATATTATCGAACGAGACGATACCACTACCCGGAGAGTCATTTATATTGTATTGTCAAAAGAGGTGATACCACTACTCCGAGGGTCATTTTTATTGTATTGTCGATTCAGACGACATCGCCACCCGAAAGATACCCAGAAGATCACCTGTGTTGTCTGGTGAAGCATTATCTTCATTTGGTACCAGGGATGGCATCATTAGAAAAGAGATTCATGCATCGCGGGTAAAAGGTTCATGCATCGCGGAAGACAAGTCACGCATAGCAAGAGAAAATATTCATGCATGTCGGGAAAAGATCATGCATTGCAAGAGAAGGATTCATGCATCGCGGGGAAAGATTATGCATAGCAAGAGAAAATATTCATGCATGTCGGGAAAAGATCATGCATTGCAAGAGAGAAGGATTCATGCATCGCGGGGAAAGATTATGCATAGCAAGAGAAAATATTCATGCATGTCGGGAAAAGATCATGCATTGCAAGAGAAAATGATTCATGCATCGCTGGGAAAGACCATGCATAGCAATAGAAAGAATTCATGCATTGCGGGAAAAATGTCATGCATTGCGGGAAAGAGATTCATGCATTGCGAAATAAATGTCATACATTGCGAGAAAAATGTAATGCATTGCGGGAAAAATGTCATGTATTGCGGGAAAAAGACTCATGCATTGCGGGAAAAAGATTCATGTATCGCGAGAAAAGAGATACATGCATTGCAAGAGAAAGATGCATGCATCGCGAGAAAAGAGAAAGAAGTCATGCATCGCGGAGAAGTCATGCATAGAAAGAGAAAGAAAGTCATGCATAGCGGGAAAAATCCATGCATCGCAGAGAAAAACCATGCATCGAGGAAAAAGTTATACACCACAAGAGAAAGATTTGCCTATCACAAGAAAATCAACATCGTTTGCATCATTTTTCTTTGTAAAAACGACATCCAGAGAATTGTCAACATATTACATTCACATATTTTATTACTTCGTCATCAAAAGAAGAGTACATTGAAGATTATATTGCAAATACAAAATACAAGCTTTATTTGCTTCACGTCAAACCCGATAGAGTTTACGTCAAATGTTCAAGGAGAACAATTAAGTGTCAACACGGTAAAAGACACTGTTTCCCATTTGAATTGCATTTTTATGCTAATGAGTTTTATCTCAGTCTTTGTCGAGACCATCCGAAAGGATGAATTCTCCAAAACAAACCACAGGTGCAGATGACATCAAAAAAGATGCAGCACGACGTGGAACTTTTTCTTAGCAGCGAACTGGGACATAGTCCAAAGAGGAGTGCCAAACTCTTGGGACGCGAGCAGAGGAAGTGACTTCCACCACAATCAAACCACACTCCTATCAGAAGACATGTGGGTTTATCTTTGGGTTTGTCAGTTTTAGTTTCGCATCCGGATACTTTTTGGTCTTTACCGAAAGCAAATTTCCAATCTAAGTGACAATGTACCAAGAACTTTGGAAATTATGTCCGTGTAAGTTCTTAATTATGGGTGTGAAGTGCACCACATTCATGGCTAAGAGGTTGCAAGCCTCTTTTTCATACTCGACTTACTTTGTCGCTCTTTTGAAACCAAAGGTGATCTAACATAATAGATTTCCTTTTCAACCGATTGAGTCGAACTACAAGCAGTCTGATTTCCCAAATTAAGGGATATGTAGGCGGGCTCAATGTTGAAAACTCGATTGTATTCCGGTATTCTCTCTTAAATCTTATTCCCAAAGTTTCGGTCTCTTCATAATTCGATATCGGAATAACTTTTGAGTTCTTCAAAATCGTGCGCTAAATCAAGCATATCGAACTACAAGTGGATTGAATTCTCATAAAGCCTGATATATGTAGGAAACCCACTTCTGGGGTTCGACCATAATTCCTAAGGTCCGTACCCAAGTCCCTTTCCTAATGATAAAGATGTGGTCGGTCAAAATTTGATTCGTCAATTTCATTTGCCTCAAATTGCTTTCATCAATCCAAGTCAAATGAGGGACAGTTGTTGACACCCAATTTTGACCCTCCACAATATAAATTAATCATTTCGAGCTTCTCCAATTTCAAACGATTTAAAATTATTAGTTTTATAAAATTTCTAAAAATAAAATAAAATAATAATAATAATAATAGTAGTAAGTAAATAAGTTTTAAATAAATGAGTTCTTTTACTTAGTTAAAACTTTAAAATTAGCCAAAATTATTTTAGTCAAATCGCCGGTCAACCGCGAGTTAGCGGGCATTCCGAGGGCCTAACACCTTCTCGGAATGTACATTGAACTTCGAACCATTTTATTTTCAATTGATTTTATCTGTTTAAATCTTTTGAAAACCTTGTATTTTTCTTGATTTTTTTTACTAAAAATTAAGTGGCGACTCTGTTCTTTTGAAAATTCGATTTGCTTAAATCATAAGTTTAATCGATTTTTTGAAAACTCAGTCATTTCCCTTTTACATATCTTTTTAAATAAAACAGTTGACATCTTACAATAACATATTTTTACAATACAATAACTACATGCCCCAGTTAAATCCCACTTAGTGAAGTCTAAGAAGGATAGACTATATTATCACTACTTTTGTGGAGGAACTTATTTTACAACACAAAACATAAATGATAAAACTTACATAATAAGCAAGCAGCAAGCATAGAGTAAAATAAGACTAACTACAATCATTTTTCATCCTTTACACTCGAAGAGATCCTTTCAGAGATCCTCCTTTCAAGTTAATCATGGGGGATACGACTGGCTTAACATAGATCCCAATACTCTCAACGGCAGATGGACTCATGGTGCCATGAAAACCACCAAAAAGACGATGATTTCGTAATTGAAAGTTGAATTGTTTGCTACTACTTGTAGGCTCCGTACGCCCAAATGGTCCATAAGAACCCTTGTTGGTGTTAAATTTAATAGCATCCAAACCTGTTGATAAATACCGATCGCCAATATAGGAACCACTTATCGAAGTAAGAAACTCTGATGGATAATCAAAGAGAAGTGCGCAAAAGTTTTCAGAGTGTTGACTGCCATGCTTTTTTGACTGAACAAACTTGTCATTCTCATAGAAGAGGAACTGAAGCGACTGAATAGTGTTTTGGGTGTAGGAAACAAAAATACCAGCAACTTCGCTTCGTCCATTTTCTTCCCATATGGAACCACCGTTGCTTCCCACTGGCCCAACTTTTATCATCTCCATATTTTCTCTTGCTTCTCAACTCCACTAGATTTACCTGATATATAAAAATTGTACGTAATATTTACAATTTACCTTATACTGAACTAACTATCTGTTTACGTGATAATTTTTTGTTCACTATGCATTTGTAGTAAGATTTGCGTACACTTTACCTTTCTTGTCACTAAGTGTGGAATTTGACAGGATATGTTGTTCATGCTGTTATATACAATATGAATTTCTCATTGATTCGCGGTGTGAGAACTCTTTGTTTCTAAGTAGTGGTATCTAGCTCTAATTTACACAAGATAAAAAGGAAGAAAAAAAATTAATATTTACACTAACAGGATAAGGGTTAACACTAGATCAAAAAACAGGGGAAGTCAAATATGAAGTGAATAAAAGGAAAATGAAGAGAGAGATTAATAGTACCAGAAAATAAACAAGAGAGAAACTTACAATTATAGCGAAGGACTGAAAGTGAAGTAGTGGTGGTGTAATCAGTGGCAAGGCGATGGGGAAGAGGTTTATATTGAAGTTGAAGAGGTTCGTTATATGTATTTGTATTGGAGTCTGATTAATTTAGATTTACGTGAATTCATAAGAGACTTGTCTATGCCCAGAACTAGAAATTGAAACTTCTAATTAAGAGTGAAATAACCTCGCAATGGTGGGAAAGCTGAATTAAGGACGGATGAAGAATCAATAAATTATGGTCATGTCATTCATACCGCGACTAAGTGTGGATCACGCATTGCAAAGACGTGTGAATGACGCTCCCAATAGAATATTTATCATAATCAAATCATTGTACCATAACCTCTGCGTTATTCACACTCTTTAAATGAAAACGACTAATCCTCTTCTTTTGAAATCGAATAATTTCATAATGGCTACTCCACTAGCTACTATTCGAATTTCCGGACGATATTATTCTTATAAAAAGTGCTTGATAATTCTCTAAGGGAAAATAAAAGTGATAAACAATAATAATAATAATAGTAAAAAAAAATTTATCACACAATCAACACCCTGCAAAAAAGGGAGATTAAAATTAACAATAAAATTCGTCACTAATATGTTGTTAAATTGTTTGTAGCTAAATTTATGCTAAATTGTTTTTAATAATCCGTTTCTAAATAGTATTGATGACGAATTTTACTATTTAGCTATTGATATATATCTACTTTCTAAATGAAACAACAAATGACAAATCCAGTACATTTTATATGAAAAATAGTAACAAAATAAATCGAAATTTTAGGCACATAGAGTAGAGGATCCATACATATATATTAACCAAACACCAACTACATTATGTAAAACTAAAACAAAATGAGTAAATAAACAATACAAACTATACTATACCATAATTATATAATATATAATTAATCTTCTTATTTTTCCTCTTTAACCTTAACTGGAGAATCTTTGAGCTTGATTACATGAGAAGATGAAATATTCTTAACATAAAACCCAATACTCTCAATGCCATTACAATTATCTGTGCCATGAAATCCACCAAAAAATTGATAATTTCCTATCTCAAAATTGAAGTCAATATTATTGCCATCAGTTGACGGAGTACCAAATGGTCCATAAGAACCTTTATTGGTACAAAATTTTATCGATCTTAAAATTGTTCACTTTTTGTTGATACGTTCAAACGAGCCACTTATGGAAGTAAGAAATTCCTATGGATAATCCAACATAATTGCACAGTACTTTTCACATTGTTTAGTACCGTATTTAGCTGACATATCTAATTTGCCATTCACATAATTCAGGAATTGAAGTGAATAAACTATGTCCTCATCATAAGAAACAAAAATTCCAACTAATTCATCTCCTTCTTCTTCCCAAATTGATCCACCACGTCCTCCAACTGCCCCAACTTTGATCGTATCCATATATTGTATATTATTATTCTCTTTTTCAAAAATCGTGGATTTATAATATTGGAAGATTGAGTTATATATAGAAGAGATTTGATTAAGAAATTTATAAGTCGTAGTATTAATTACAAGTATGTAGAGCGTTTTCATCGTCATGCGTTGCTCTTTTGATCTTCTATCTCGAAATAGGAGTGTGATGCTTCGTTTCTCACTTTCAATTTAATTTTGGACTTGGCCCGTTCAATGAATATCGACATTTTCCTAGTAGTTTAATCATAATTTTCATCATTTTATTTGGCCTTTGGCCTTCAATTAATATTTCCTCTAGTCCAGATTAAGTAAATTGTTATATACGGTGTACCTTTTAAGAAAAGAGATAATTAAGCAAAATGACTTTTCAGTCATAAATCCTTTCTCAAAATAGGCCAATTATTGTTATTATAAAAAATGGTCATTTTTCAATTGCAAGCCAAGTGCAATTTGTGCTTTCTTCTTGCCTTCTTTGGTCTTCTTCCTCTCTTCCTTGTTCTAATTCCTTACTTCTTCATTGTTTTCCTCCTCCTCCTTCTTCTTCATATCTTCTTTCATGTTCAAAGCTTGACTTTTTAAATCAATGTATTACATAATGTGAATCATTTTGAGTAAATAATATATCAAAAAACTCGGGAGATTTGAGTAATTGGTTGGAGATTGAAAAAGATCAATTTGCAAATTATACTTTATTGTATCAACAACGTGTATATATATATAAATGTTGTATGTATCACTAATTTTGGGGTGTTTTTTTGTGTAAATAAAAATTTAGCTATATTTGGTGTAAATGAAACTACTTTATTGTATATTTGTGATTTTTTTCTTTAAAAATGTTACTTTCCATTCACCTTATTGATTGTTCACATAGTATTCTACTGAAAATTGCAAAGTTATTAAGAAACTCATTAAATAAAAGATAAGTATATAATAATGTTTCAATAATTTAACTAGAGATTACATTTTATTAAACGTACAAATGACTAGTAAAATTAACGATGGAATCGAGGATGGAATGCTATTTTGGAGGAATATTTTATGGGCTTAGTTTGGTTGTCAATGTACAAATTTATTTTGTTCTTTTTTAGATGGAGAAAAATTGACTTATCCTAGCAATATTCTTTCTTTCACCAGTTAAATTTACACAATTCATTTATTTTAAAAATTAGAAAATGGAATATAACATTACGTTAAGATTTGAACATTATGAATTGTATTTGTTGATACCATATGGATAATAAAGTAAATACGTAGTACTCCAGAAATTAAATAAGAAACCATGAAAAATAGTAACAAAAGATATCGAAATTTTAGGCACATAAAGTAGATGAACCATACATAAATAATAACCAAACACCAATTAATATAATTAATCTTCTTCTTTTTCCTTTTTAACCATTACTGAATTATCTTTCAACTTGAGCATAGAAGAAGGAATGTTCTTCACATAAAACCCAATACTTCCAATGCCATCAAGGCTCTTGGGGTACCAAATGGTTCATAAGAACCTTTAATGGTGCCAAATTTTTTCGAACTTAAACAAATTGTTGACGTTTTGTCGACACGTGCAAATGAACCAGTTATCGAAGTAAGAAATTCTGATGGATAATCGAAGATAACTACACAATAGTTTTTACACTTTTGAGAACCACATTTCTCTGACTTAACTAAATTTTCATTCACACAAATCGATCCACTCACACCTCCAAATGGCCCAACTTTTATCGTATCCATATATTGTATAGTCTCTCTTGTATAAATCTTGTAGTGATAAAATTAATGGAAGATCAACTTATTATTATATATATAGAAGAGTTTATAACTTTCTGTCACTAATTATTTGTCCATTTTTGAATTGACATAGTAATTTTATCATTTTATCTCTATTAATTATAAAGTTGATGAATTAAAAAATTAAATTTTCAATAAAATTCGATCATTTTCAAAATAACTAATTGATGATATAATAGGTAAGAAAAAAAAATTATTTCTTAATTTGCCAAAATAAACAAGTAATTAGGGATGGTGAGAGTAATGCTCTAAACAAAAGTCTTTTCATAGTCACACATCGATATTCGTTATTCTATCTCGAAAGTATGAGTAAGATGCTTCGATTCTCTCTTTCTATTTAATTTTGGCCTTTGTTCAATGAATTTCATTGAATTAATCCTCAGTACCATTTCATAAGAGGAGCATGCTGGACCAGGGGCGGACCTAGGTGGACGGGAGGGGTTCATCTGAACCCTTTTGATAAAAAAATTATATCGTATATATAAAGTTAAAATTGTTATTTATGAGTATAAATATTAAAATGAATCCCTCAATAAAATTGTAACACGTAGCCTAGTGGTCAAGGGGGTTCAGAATGACTCCAAGGTTCCAAGTTTGATTCTTGCCAGTCACGCTTATATATAATTTTAGCTTAAATTTTGTCCTACCCAACATCCCAAGTTTTTAGCTATAAGTTTTACTTTTGCCTTTTCCCAAAAGCCCAACCCACAAATTAACTTTCAAAAGGTTGTTTGATTTGGATTTTACAAAGATTAATATCCATACTAAAATCACTAAAGCTTATACGAAATTGTGTTGAAGTTTGATGACATTTTTTGAATTTCAAGATTCAAACAAGTTTATCTTTAATTGTGAATTTTTCATATATTTTTTATATATTTTAATTTTTTTTTAATTATTTTGACTTGTAGTATTTTTTACGTAGCTTATAAATATATAAATTTCATTTTTTAAAATTTGAAAATTCTATGTGCAAATATTCGGTCAAACTTAAACTATTTGACTCTCAAAAAATGAAAAGTGTTACATAAATTGGGACAGAGGGAGTATTAATTAATATAACATTTGATTTTTTTCATAAATAATATTTAGTAAAACCTAATATTTATATACATTTTGTAAAAAATTCTATATCATTTTACGAAGGATATAGAATAAGCATAGGCTCCTAGTAATAAATATATTTAAAACGTTAAAACAACAAAATTAATAGGGGATTAGCCAAATTTATATAATTTGTTATTATGAGGATTACCTTTTATTCAAAAAAAATAATATTTTGTAGATTAACATTTCATGTTTGATTAATAAATTCAAATTTTTTTCTCGTTAATATTAGAGATCAAATTTGTGGTTGGCCAAAATTTTCAAAACTGCTTTTGGAGAAAGTTATGTTTTCAGCTTTTGAAAAGAAGTTTTGCCACAACTCAAAAATAACTACTATATTTGTTTTCCTAAAAGTACAAAAGATTTTAAAAAGGTTCGATGAAGCAAGACATAAGTAGGAAGAAATGTTAAATGAAACATGACAAAACGAGTTAAAATTTGGTGAGTTAAAATGATCTTGTCTTTCACCACTATGTTCCTTTTAATCAACCTTTTCGCAAATTTACTTTTTATATTCGAACCCTCTGAATGAAAATCCTGTGTCCTGGACGACTTTGTTACCAGAGATAAATAAATTCATAAAATTTTTATGATGAATTTATTTTATATTGTTAGAAATAAAATTATAGGATAACTTATTCCAAAATTAATTATCTTGAAAATGTAGTATTATGTTTATCCCACCACATTAAAAGTTAATAACAGTTCTCAGGAAAAAAAGAAACACAACTCTGAAATAACTTGAGTAGAAATAATTTATCACAGAAGGACTATAAAAGTATTTGTCAGCTTTTAGAAAAAGAAGAACGAATTAGTCTCCATTTTCTAATTTTACCATCATTCTAATAATTGTGGAGAGATTAATATGGTAAAACCAATAAATAAATAATAATAATAATAAATGAAATTAAAGAATAAAAAGATGAATTAAATGGATTATTAGTTTAATGAGATCTCTAGTTTCATATTATTAAGTATATGAATTTTTAGAATTTTTTCCTAATTTAAAATAAGTGAATTATTTAAAATAAAGGTGAAAAATATAGTTTTTTTCCAAAAGTATATAAAACTGTGACAAAATAAATAAGACATTTTAGGTGAAAAATCTTTCTTGATCAAAGAGGAAGGAATGTTATTCATATAAAAACCAATACTTTCAATGCCATCACAATTCTTAGTACCATGAAAACCACCCAAAAATTGTTGATTTCCTATCACAAAGTTGAAGTCCATATTATTATTGCCATCACTTGATGGAGTACCAAATGGTCCATAAGAACCTTTATTGGTACTAAATTTTATTGCTCTTAAAAATGTCAAATCTCGAGTTGGAGACAACGCTGAGAAGAAAGACCTTTTGTTGAACCGTTCAAACAAACCAGATATTATTTTATATTGTTTATGAATAAAAATTGGAGTTATATATGCTGATGGAAGATGTATACATATAGTAGAGTTGATAAAGAAGTGTTTTGAGTCGTATTAATTAGTACTGCTTGTTTTTCTATCTTGAAAATCGGAGTGTGACGCTTCGTTTCTCTGTCTATTTAATTTTGGCACGCATTCAACTATAACAAAATAGAATCCGGCTCCTCTTCATTTCTCTTTCCTCCATTTTCCCCAAGTTCTTGCTTGGATGTGAGGCACATGACATAGATAAAAATCAATGGCTAAGATTAAATTGATTAAAATAAGATTCTAATTATGATTTAGATAATTAGTATTTCATAATAAAAATAATAATACCATAATCACAAATCATAACAATATATTATCTTGTCCATAAATATATTATAAAAACTTTTCTCTTTTCTAACTTTTTTTTTCCTATAAGTATTTATCTTCCGTTTGTTTTTTTTAAAAAAAATTGAGCAAGTCTTAGATAGCAACTTTGAAATTAGTTTACATATAATTAATAGAAAAAATACTCGCATGGAAAAAATAATTAGAAAAAGAGAAATTATTTTATAATATATTTATGGACAAAAACAGAAGATAATAGTAAGAAAAAGATTAATTTTTTTTAATAATATATTTATGGACAAATATATTGTTATGATTGTTGTATTGTCATTTTTCTTATGAAA